ATGGAAACCCTGATTGGGGAAAGTATATCTGAAATAGACCAGGAGGTTTTCTGTGGTTGAACACTTCATATGTGTAGGGTTTAGAAAGATCATTAAACCAACACAACGGCACAGAAGATGTCGGGAGGGATTTCAGGAAATGAGAGGCCAGTTTTTTGAGACTCTGGCATCGACCAGGAGTGGACTCCCTGAACTGGACAAGTGTATGAAAACAGATGGGAGTTTGTATGACAACTTTTTAAAGCAGCTGACTCTCTATGTGTCAATAAACACATCCATGAAAGTATCTGACAAGTTTGATACGAAATTACCAAACTAAACAAATGCTAAAACTGAGGAAATTTCTTCTTTATTAAGGATATTTTGTATTTTTCTTTAGTTTACTGAGTTCATAACATAATTTATTTAGGGTTTTGGGTTTTGTTTTTTTTGTTTTTCAAAAGTCCAGGTTTTACTTTGCATTTTTCGCATCTAGTTGTACTTCTTTACATCTAGTTTTTAGTTTTAGGGCAATAAAATTCAGTTCAGTTTGATTTGTATAACACCTTGAGGCAGCTTGTGATTTGGTGCTATATAAATAAAATTGAATTGAACTGAATCTTAGTTAACTATGATAACCATGTTGCCTGAGTTGGTTGTATTAGCGATATAACCTCTCAATGGCTTCATACAGACCCAAGTGAAGGAAACACTTGCAGGGATGTCCGGCACATATTCTGACATCATCAACTGAAACTTTGGCTGTGATAATATGAGATCCATAATTCTAATATGGATCTCATATTCTATTCTAATGGTGGTCAGAGGGCCTGGTGGCGCCAGGGTCCGGCAGCCTCGCCTCTTTCAATGCGCCCCAGGGTGGCTGTGACTACAATGTAGCTTGCCATCACCAGTGTGTGAATGTGTGTGTGAAGTAAAGCGCTATACAGATACAGGCCATTTATAGAAAAAAATGTAAACTGCCATTTGGAATAAAAGAAATTAAATAAACAGATTGTAGCTTTTTACCCTTCCCTCATTCCAGGATATGCGCTAAATACTCAGTGTCTTTAAAGAATGAGATATACATGAGCCAAATTCCTGTGATGCAAAACAGAGACTAGACTTTACTATAAACAGGTTTAAGAAAATGTAGCGTGATTAGGTTAAATGTCACTGTTTCCAGTAGAAAATTAAGATAAGAATATGAAAATGTAGGATAAAAAAGAAATACTAAATAATAATATGTGTTGCTTATATAGTATGATTTGTTGATAGGGATAAATTATTTTAAACTAGACTTTAAAGAGAACTATGGCTAACAAATAGAGAGATTGGACATTTATATGTGTACAGGAAGCCTAAAGGTTCACTGCTCCATGATTCAAGAGACAGAAAATAAAGTCAATAAAATGTACAAGTATTCTATATGAGCTGAAAGCTCAGACCTTACACTGCTCTAAATGCTCAGTTTCAAACATCTTTTTCCACTCTTGGCTCTGTATGATGTCAGTGAGAGGACATCTCTAATCCCCAATCACAGAGTTGTTGCAAGGAAAGCTCAAAACAACACCATTCAGGCACACTGATGTTCGTGCTGTGTGGTTTGGTGCATTTTAAGTGGGGTTTGTGTGCAGGAACCATGAATACAGTCGCAATCGCTGAGGTGGTGGCACGGAAGGTCCTTGTAAGCCTCATGGATGTGTAAACATAGCAGCTTCCCCTGTTAGTATTAACATTCACATGCGGAAACCTGTCTGCCCGCACTTGATCTTTGACCTTTTAGAAGTAAAACTTCATCACTTAATTTTATTCAATTAATCATGCATTAAATGTTTGTTGTTTTTTTTTGGGGGGGGGGGTTAATAACTGGTGCATTAATCCTTAAGTAATGACCTAAATCATGCTTGGTCAGTGACCTTTGACTTGACTCCCACCTCATGAATGTTTGTGCCAGGTTTGAACATATTCCCCCAAAGGTTAAAATGTTGAAATAATTACTCACAATTTAGGATAAAAACTCAAAATCTTAGATTTTAAATCCAAATGTTAAAATAATAACTCAAAATTTTTTTCTTATGGATGGAAAAAAGAAACATTTATTTATTTACAATTGGTGTCAGAAACAAGCCACCATACAAAACAGTAAAAAACAAACAAACCCCAGCGCAACTTAAAAATTCAAAGAGCTTCTTTGTTGATTGTTCTTGTTAATATAGACTTGATGTGTAGTTTAGTATAGTTTTACATTTAAATTAATATATAAATACTATAATATAAAACTTCATCAAACAAACGACCCGATGAAGGTTTTTCGTACTGAAACGATAATAGCAGTAAGAAAGAAAGTGAATTATATTGAATTGTTTTGTGGATATAAAACTCGGAGGCTGAAAAAAATTACACTTTTCCAGAATCTTAAGAAACCAAAACAATACATTTTCAAAGGGAAGCTCAAAGATATAAGTAATTTTATCCCAGAAAAATTTCCTCACGTAATGTTATTTACTCAAAGGGGGCTGTACTTCCTCTCGACGTCATCGTGCACGTTAACGCCCATCGAAGGACGTCGCTGATTGGTCCGCTCTACACCCCCTCCCCAGCCGACCTCTCTAGCGCAAACGACAACCCTGTTATCGGTTATCGAAGGTGTGCGCCGAGAACAAGTGTGTTTAACCGTGTTGTTCTGGTGCTATTGCTTCACTGTAAAGCCTAGTAGAGTGTTGTTTGCTTTCTGCGGTCACAATTTGAATGTGTGTTGTTTCCCCCGACTTCAGAAAAACGGTAGGAGGGCACGGGAGGAGGAGGAGGAGGGAAGCCAGCCGATATATTGTTTTCGGCAGGCTAGCTAACTTTAGGAGAGTGTAAAAGCTAACGACTCGACTCGTTTGCAGGGAAGCAGGTAACTCGGTTAAAATGATGACTTTCTCGGCTCTGGTTAGACCTCTGGCTTCACAGATTCACCGACAGCTCGCCAGACAAGCCAGGAGTCACCGGATAACGCCTGTCAGAGGATGTAACCTGACTGCGTGCTCAAGCAAATATGTGCTGTCTCAGAGTGAGTACTTTTATTTATATGGCATGTGTGGTAACGTTAGCTGGGCATCCTGCCTGCCAGCCGGCGGTCAGCTGCTCATTGTCACACAGATGATCTCTGCAGCCCTCACAGTGTGTGTGTGTGTGTGTGTCAGCTCGGCAGTGGTCGGCTTGTTTCATTCATTGCGGCTGACACACAGCACCGTTTGTTGGTCACTTTTGTTTTCATGCCACAGCAGCGCGGGGAGCTGTGCAAACCTGGAGCTGGACTTTGATCATCCCTGGATTTCGATCAGTCGCCTCTCTGGTGACTCGGCAGTGTTCAGACTCCAGGTTTTCCAAACACCTATTGATAACCGCTGATCGGTGTGCCCCACACCGGGGCCCTTTGACGCCCTTTGACCTATATACCTTCTACTTGTATGCACTTCATGTCATACTAAAGAAATTTCGCCTTAATCGCCGTTTCCACTGTGCATATCCTTATTGAGAGCACATAAAAATTAAAAAAAAAAATGTCACGTGTTACATTACAGTATGTACTTGTGCTCCTGGCAGATGTGTGACATGAAACATTCGCATGTTTCACAACTAATGAGTCACCACCTTTTATTTTCATGAGACCACAGACTTTCTGAACCACTCAAGCTTGTTTGAGCAGTTTTAATAATTTCACTAACACGCCCTGGTAATGTCAGTATTGCCTTGTTTGCTGTCTCCAGCCAAGTACAAGAGTCAACATTGAAAAATGCAGTATATTGGCGAAAGTAATTGCTCGATTGCCTTAACATGCATATAAACTTGAATGACATCTCATTATTAATTCATAAGGTTTAATATGATGTCAGCCCACCTTTGGAAGCTATAGCAGCTTAAACTCTTCTGGGTAGGCTTTCTACAATATTTAGAAGTGTTTATTGGAATTTCTGATGTTGGCCTGACTCACAGTCTCCACTCTATTTTCTGTTTTGTATATATTTCTCCTGTTTGTTATTTATTTCTGCTGTCTTACTTTTTATAGTTAGTAGGTGACCTGTGCTATAGTCACAAATAAAAGGTTTTCTGGGCATTTACTAAGAGAGGCTATGAATCAGTATGGACATGAACATACTTTATTTTTAAATTTGTCAAAATACTTAAAAGTATTAAATCTATCAAATTCACGTGACTGTACTTCTCATAGCTGTATGCCACCTTTTCTTATTTGACTGTGCAAAATTAAATTTGACATCTCAAAAATTTCTTTAAAAACATCGATCAAAATCTGACAGGAATATGAATAATTTCGGATTAATAGACATACCTACTTTAAAGCTGGGCCATTCCGAGGCCCTCCAAGGTATGGAGGCCTATCTCCCCTCACCACACCCCCTGCCAGTGGCTGATGCCCTCAGATGTCGGTGCATTGGTGGTTCTTGGTATCCAGGGCTGGGCGCTCGGGTTACCCTGTACTGGCTCACTCCCAGTGGCTGCTTGTCAAGTCAAAACAACTTTATTTATCCCCAAGGGGCAATTAAGATAGATGACAGGGGTTGGTGCCTGTGGCTTGGTTGGGCCAGTTCAGGGGGTGGGGGGCCCTCAGGCCTCTGGCCCCTGGACCTGGGTTTCTGTCCACTCTGGCGCAGTTGGCTGTTGTTATTTACTGTTAGCTAGATTATTGCGATGGTGTTGTGTTTATTATGTTGCTCTCCTTTTTGCTTGTTTTCTCTTCTGTTTTTTCTTCTCTCAACAGGTTTTTTTAAGTGCCCTTTCTCACTGTCCCTCTTCCCCTCTGTCTTTTTTCCCTCCTTCCTTCCTTCCTTCCTTCCTTCCTTCCTTCCTTCCTTCCTTCCTTCCTTCCTTCCTTCCTTCCTTCCTTCCTTCATTCTCCCAGTCATGTCTGTCCCATCTGTAACAACTGAAAATAAAATAAATACATAATAATAATAATAATAATAATAATAATAATAAAGGTCAATCAAATGGACCAACATGGCATGGCCATTATGTTCCACTTAGTAAAAAGGCAAAATAAAAAAAAAATGGTGAAGTAATAAAAAGTGATAACAAGTTCTACTAGTAGCTTTAAAAATAGTCAAAGGGAAAAACCTATTAAAAGGTAAAGTTTTTACTATAATTTTGGCTGACGTCCAGCTGAAGCTCAAGGATGTATATTAAAAAATGTGCCAGGTGTGCTACACTCTTACTTATTGTTTGTTTTACACAATTTTCTGTGTGGATTTTTTTTGTGGAAAGCTGTGGTTATTTGCCGAATCTCTTGAAGTGGAGTCTTTTGTTCCTAAAATAAAAACAAATCAGTCTCAGCTCCTCTCAGCTTTCTTATTGGAAGAAAAATAATGTTGTTGGTCAGACTTAAATTAGTAATTGGCTGTTTGGGAGTAGAAAAACTGTCCATTCCAGCAAAGCTTTTATGTTCAACCATTGTAATAAACTAGAGTTTATATTTAACTTTTACCAGCTTGTTGTGTCCGTCTGTGTCTGTACAAAGCATTACCAAAAGACTGGGTTGTTTTGAACTGGTCAGTGGGATTTTTTTCTTCTTTTTTGCTAGTTGCTTGGTCTTCAGTTTGATATCTGTGTAAAGACACATTCGCTCTTCGTACACTCTTAACAAAAGTAGCAGGGAGGCATACTGATATCTTGCCAGCTTCAGAACAATGGTGCGCTCTGTTCCCTCAGTAGTGCCTGTTGGGTAAAATTTTCACCTCAGTGGGTTCAGATGGTTTACTCAGTCCAGACCTCAAGCCTGAACATAAAGAGATTCTACCTGCAAGCCTCAGCTCAGGGCACAAAGTTTTTCCCTGCAGAGGTTTGGAGTTACTGAGGTCTTTGGAGTATACAGAGAAAACAGTATTTTGTTACTGTTTTTGCTGAAATCATTCCTTCTTTCAGAACCATTATACATAGTAATCATTTAGTCGGCCAGGAGTCCATTTTATTTGACATTTATGTAATATATTACTCAGATCATTCGTTTCTAATTCTTTTTTAATTCCTTATTTGTAAGTTTAATTTGCCAGAACCTGTTAAAAACTTTCAGATTATTATTTTTACGAGCTCGTTTATATCAGAGATTGTTTGCTAATTAAGAAGAATGACTCCAAGCACACTCTTCTGTTTGGTAGCAGGAGTGACTGGAGCTCAGCTGTGATGGTCCCCCAGTGAGGTGCAATACACTAATTGGCTCAGAACATGTTATTAAGCTGGTTACTCAAGACTGTTGAGAAAGTCTTTGAAAAGATTCAGGTCCCTGTGTCCAGGATGTGGAGCGACACTATCATATCACAGTTACCAGTCTTGCACATTGGATGGTATGACTTTTTTTTTTCTGCATTTGTGAAGCTTTTATTATGATGCGTCTATGGGAAATGAAATGCGAGCTTGGCAGATTCGCTGATGTCTGCAAGGCAAGATATAAATATCTTGTCCTGTGCCAGGAAAACTCGAGCAATTGCTCGGTACCTCCACCCCAATTTAAATTAGGATAAATGATTTGTGATATGCTCCTGAAGTGAGTCCCTTTTATTAATTCAAGGCCATATAAACTCCACAGTTGATAATTGCAGTGCAAGAGCATGCATGGCTTTGGAAGCAGTTATTGTTCATGCAATAACTGAGACAGGCAGCCGACTCTCCTAGGAGGAGCCACTGAAATCCCATGAAGATGAAGGTCATGTCCCAGTCGGACCTGTTGAGCTTGGCTCTCAGTGGAAACCTTATGCTCCGGAGAGAATGAATGATAAGGAAAATAAAAGACTGAACTGCCTTTGTGCCCTATGAACTGTGCATGTTCTTTTTCTTGTTGATCTGGGTTCAGATAAATGAGTGAAATAGTCTTTTAAACTGTGTGTGTGCTTTTCTTTTTCTAAAGAAAAGACTTTTTAAAATAGTTTTGGATGTATTTCAATAGCAGAGGCACAACACCTAAATAGGGAGGCAGAGAAAATAAGCAGAGCTTTGAGTAATTAGAAGTCAGGTCTGTTGACAGATGTTGGACTGAGCGTGCAGTTTGACTGGCCAGAGGTCCTGGTCAGGTTCTCCTGCTGTGGAGGCGAGCTGAGGGCGTGCCAAGACATTCCGCGTGTCACTTTCTGTACAGCCGGCCCACTTCTCTCTTATTTAGTAATTTCCTTTAGGGAAAAAAAAGTAAGCGGACTAAAAGGAAGTGAGATTGCTTACTTGCTGACTTTTCAGTCAGTTCCTTTTAAGAGCTCGGGGAAGAAGGATTGTACCTGTCTTTCTAATACTGTCACCATTTGAATCTTCTTTTTATGAAGCATTTTTAATTATTTTTTTTTTTTAAATAATGGATTTTACAAAAATGCAGGAAGCAGCGGAGTGCAACATGAAAAGTAGGTTTAAGGGTTTTTTTGGGTAATCTTTTCTGCTGTTCCCTTTGTCAAGAATTTTTAACTCTGACTGGAAAACGATAATCTTCAATATCACTAACTTGTGTTTTGTTTTTTTTACATTTTCCTCTTCCTCCTTCTCATCTCCTTCAGTGCATCCCATGTGGCAGGGACCCCTCGTGGTACCAGGAGGGGATCGTCAGTCGCCAATTGATATTGTCGTACGCAAGAGCATCTTTGATTCAAAGCTGAAGCCTCTGGTTACCAAATACGACCCGCATACTTGCCAACAAATCTGGAACAACGGTTACTCGTTTCTGGTCGAGTACGATGACACTACAGACAAGTCCAGTAAGTACTCTTTTGTAATCTGCATGTATATATTTAGTTAAAATACTCCAAACAGTACACATTAAGTTATTCAGGTAATTACTCCCTAGAAACCTAGAAAGTAAGATTACAGTTTGTACCATGTAAGTTCCTCTTTGTTGCCTGCTCAGATGGCAGCAGGTCTGTAGCTTCCATTTAAATCGGGAAGAATTTAAGGGAAATCTCAGCTGTAGGAATGTATGTTTTGGTCTACACAAGGGGATTATCTTTTCCTGCACTCCCCCTTAAAGAGCACTCAGTATGTAGGAAAATCCAGTAAGCAATACTGCTCTTAAAGGTGCCATGTGGGCTGTCATGTGACTTGTATGTTTGTGCTGACCCTTAAAAGTGCAACGTACCCTGTCCTTAAAGTGTCATTTTGGTATAATTACTGGGGTGTGCCAAAACACTAACTTTACTACCCATTAAGATTCTAAATATAAATCATGTTTTGGTGAAATTACAACAATACACTTTATAGGGTGTCACATGCTGCCAGTCTTTGTATTAAAAGCTTTAAAGCTTAGTCTGCGAGAACAATAACAGGTTTATAAACTTCACTTTGTGAAGAACTTTAGCCTTTATTTTTTTGACAACAGAAACCTTTATGCTGCTGTATTTGGAGAAGGAGAGGCCTTGTCAGTGTACAGATACTGTGAGGACAATAAAACATTATTCTTTCATAGCCTCGTTCTCACTTTAATGTTTCCTGGATGTTTGATGTCAGTATTACTCCCTGAACAACCTGTTTCTGAACAGTCAGTCTTTGTCTGATAATTTCCACCCTTTGAAGGAGGAAACAAGTAATTAAAAATTCCTTGAAACATAAGCTATTTCCTCTGGACGAATCCATGTTTGATGCACTGATTTTTCATGTCCTTGAACTTTATGGTTGCAGCGCTACAAGGGGGCCCCATGGAAGACAAATTTAGGCTTTGCCAGTTCCACTTCCACTGGGGTGAGACCAACGCCTGGGGCTCAGAGCACACCGTGGACAAGAAGCTGTTCCCCGCTGAGGTACAGCAGTGCTGCCACCTCCATACACCAACACAAACACATGGAAAACATGGGGTCACGTAAATGTTCACAGCCATCATTTTTACCATGAATTTATCCAAGTCCCCTTCTGATGTGCACTAATTTTCACTAATGTTGTTTGATTATGTCGCTGGTCAATCTAAGAGCTCGTAACATTTATATATTACTTGGAAAGTATGCACAAGATTATGTGTTGTGGGATTTGTAATTTATGCTGACCATATACAGGTTGCAGTTACACAACTAAGACAGGTTCACCTGGAAACTCTAAGGTTTTAATTTAAGAAGTTGAACAATAATATTTATATGCAATAATAATAATATGTCAAAATGCAGCTATTTTATGCACAGTTCCTTATTTTCTGGGTTTTAATTTTAATAGGATAAACTCGCACAACAATAACAGAAGTGCTTATTTTTCATGGACGTCACCAAAGACTGGCTTTCCTCCTTAGTGGTGTTTTGCTAACCTTCACTGTGGCTGCTTTTAGTGGTTGTTTGTGGGTCTTTCTGCTTTCAGTGATGTTCAGCTCCGTCTGGTTGACATCGGGGAAGAGACTGAGCCAGTGGAGATTATTCCACTTCTTTACCATTAAAACTTCAGCCTGAAAGGCATTGTTTTAGTTCTCTCTTATTAATAGTCTGTTGCACATCTATTAGTGACTGACTGAATGGACTTCAGCATCAGTGCAGTAAATTCAGATGTTAGATGCTTTTTAATAAGATTGTTTTGTTGTTGTTGTTGTTTTTTTTTACAGATTTTGGATTTACAAGATTTTATTTTTTTAACAAAAGCCACAATATTAGCATCACCTGAGATCAAAACACCACCAAGTACATGAGCGTGTTCATACCTGTAACAGCAGTGTTCCCCTATGCACACACTCTGTTGACGCTTAAAAAGCCCTGACCTTGCAGCTCCTGGTTTAATGTAGCATGTTAAGTGCAGAAGCACTGCACACTGTATGCTATTGTTTAACGAGCCGCTGAATGGAAACTCACATAGGTATTACTTAAGAAGCAGGTAATTGAGAGAGAGGGGAGGGGGGGGGGTAATTCGCTGTCAGTCATTTGCAATTACTTTCTGCATCACTGGATCTTTACATAACCCCTCACTGAACCCACTATTGTATTGATGCTTGCCTGAACTCAACTCAAGTAATATTACAACCCCAACTCCAAAAAGGTTGGAAGGCTGTTTAAAATGTAACTAAAAACAGAATAGAGGGATTTTAAAATCTTATAAACCCCTACTTTATTCAATATAGAAAAATATATCATGTGTTTGAACTGAGGAAATGTACAATTTTCAGATTCCTTGTTATCCACAGGTTAAAGCTCTATCATGCAAAGAAGAATCCATATATGAGCATGATCTGGAAATGCTTGTCTTGTTTGGGACAAATCTAATTTAAAATGGACTGAGGCAAAGAGGAAAACTGTTGTTTGATCAGACAAATCCATCCATCCATCTTCATCCGCTTTATCCGGGGCCGGGTCGCGGGGGCAGCAGCCTAAGCAAAGAGGCCCAGACCTCCCTCTCCCCAGCCACCTCCTCCAGCTT